ACAGAAACCTTGTGGGTCTTGTATCCCCAGTGCCTACCACAGTGCACCCAGCACACTGCAAACGCTTAGGAAACCTTTGATAAATAAATGTATCTGCTACTACCTCTACAGGTGAGACCTTCCTTCTATTCTCTGCATGCTGAACTCCTATTCATCTTTCAAGACCCAACTATCACCTCTTCTGGGAAGCTGTGGTTTTCTGAGACCCCACAGCACTTTATACACAGCTTGATACTTTTGAATGTTCAGGTGTCTCTTTCAGTTACTTCACTTGGAGTACCTCCAGGGCATAAGCATCTCTCCTACGCTCCTGTTTAGCTTTCTGTCTGGCCCACAGTAGGTACTTCAACTATGTTTGAACACATAAATGAATACATCTGTGAATAAATGGGGGTTGTTAACCCAGAATAATAGCCTAGACACCAAACGTTCCCCCATTAACCGCTGACCTTTCCCGTTTAGGACTATCCAGCCTTAGCAAGAACTGTGTATTTCGACTTCTCCCTGGCCGTGGCCTTACCTGCCAATGACGTCCTTAGGGTCGTACTTCTGGTAAAACTCCTTGGCCGCGGCCCAGTCGGGCAGCTCATCCTCCGGTCCCACGTCCAGCGTCATTCTGAAGGAGGTGGGGGCCTGTGTGGACGGAACGGAGGGCAGTGAGGGCAAGGAGGCCCACAGACTCTGAGAGGACGCACATCGCGGCTGGCGGAGGCACAGGCCTTGCGGCTGAGGCGCCAGGATCCTGGGGGATGGGGACGGGGTGGGGGAAGGAGCGGGACTGGGGAGACCCCGCGAAAGGGCCTAGGGGGCGAACGGGTTGGCAGGACAGGAAAGGGGACGGGGAAGGGGGAGGGAAAAGGCGTGGAGAATAAGGGAAGGGATATACGGGCAAGCGGCTGTTGCTGCGCAAGCGCACTTGGGTGAGCGCTGGGAGGGGGCCCGGGGTCTCGCGCAGGCTCACCCACAGGGGCGGGGAGATAAGCCGGGGTCGATGCTAGGACGCTAAGTCGCCGAGTTCTCCAGTCCCTTACCTTACCCTCGGGAGGTGCCGGCAACACCTCAGGCCCCGCCCCCATCTTGCCTGCCAATAGCCAGCGCTGCCCTAAGACTGCGGTTCAAAAAACCTTCCGATTGGAAACTAATAGTCCAATAGGAAGCCGAGAGTCTCTAGGCTGGAGCGAGCGTTGGAACTCAGAGTTACCTAAGCCTTCGACGCTAGGGCGGGCTTCAAATATGGCCAATCAGCGCACGGCATCTGCGGGGGACAACAGAGGGCGGAATCTGTTGACCAGTGAAGTTGTAGGCCTGGAACCGAACCCGGAAGTTAGGTTTACCAAGAAGCATGACCTCTGGTAATCGGGATGCAGGACTCGCTCGCTGCGCCTCCGCTTTCTGGACATGAGCATGGCCCGCTCAGTCTCCTCCCAGCATCCCTATCTGAATTCGGCTCTATAATAGCAGCCAGGTCCAAAGCGCCTGCCTTGAGGGGCCGACTCCAGCTGTTAAAATGTTCAGAGCACAGAGCTTGGACCCCAACTTGGCCACTTGGTGCGGACTTGAATATGCCATGGTCCGTCAGCCTGAAGAACCTGCCTCGTCCTGTGGCTGCTCCGACTCCTCTTAAATACCTCCAAAGCTCTAGCGCTCATCGTCTGAGGTTATACGTTTTCCCAATCTTCCACCACCCTCTTCACAAAAGCCTTGGGGAATATCACACTCTACTCTAAACCTACCAGGTTCTGAGATTCTGCCAGGAGCGACTTGATTCATAAGCCTTCTCAGTGTACAGCTCAACCCTGGCATTCACTTACTCATTCAACAAATATTTGTTGAGCGTCTAAGCGCTAGACTAACAGCAATGAAGAAAAGAAGTCCCTACCCTTGTGGAAGCTATGTTCCAGCGAAAAAGAAACAGAATGAATTCATTTAATCTTCTAACAACTATTTTAGAAATGTCACTTTGGGATCGCAACCATGTTAAGAGGCGAAAAACAAATCCAAGTTAACTTTATAACGGAGTACTTTGACTTCATAGCGTCGATAAAAAGACAATAATTACAAAGAAATCTTGAACTTTACTTAGCAGTCTTGTCATTTGGTAGTATTAATGGGATAAATATTCTGAAATATTTATTGAGTAAATGAATAAACATTGATGTAGGTGGCAGCCAAGGTTCTTACTGTTGGAGTATGGAATGGGGAGAGAAAGAACTTTGATTTAAATTGGAGGTGTAATTTTAGAAATAGATTTAAAATAGATATTTTCTAGCTTTAACCTCTGAAAGGGCTTAGAAGCAATAACATCTCAGTAGAATGAGCATAGCTTGTGTCTAGATTCTGATTTCAAGGTACTGGTCCTCAGTAAAAGGAACCTGCGCTCGTTGGAAAAAATGGCCAATTCCCAGGCTGGGGTAGAAAAAGTGCAAGATAAGCCTGGAATAATTTGTGCCAGAAAGTAAGTGAAGAAAGATGGGCACTTGTCAGGACACAAGAACCAGGTCGAAGGGGTTTCCACTGGCCAAGATCAAGGACAGAAATAATAAGACCCAGAGGGCCATGAGGGAGTCTTCTGATGTACTAGAAATGTCCTATTTACCTAGGTGGTATTACACAGTTGTGTTCACATGAACACATTTACCAAACTGTACACTTAAGATCTGTGCACTTTATGTAAATTATACCTCAACAAAAACATTTTAAGGATGACAGTAATGAATGTAACGAACAACTAAAAAAACAATCTGAGACAATATGGACAACTAAAAATTGTAAATAATGGAGAAAAAGACCTTATTCATAGAATGCCAACTGATAAATGTAGGATGATAAACTTAAAACATCAACATTTTGTGAGCCTCATAATTGACTTGGGCAAATGGCATTAAAATTATTGGGGAAAATTTGCTGAGAAACAGGATATTTATACAAATTATTTTTTAATTATGAAAGAAAAAAGGTATCATTACCTTGCAGAAATCTGATAGATACTACCTTAACCAAGCTGTCAGTGTTACTACTACCAATAAGAGGGCAAATTGGCATCATATACCTACCTCTTGATGTGATGTACTGAGGACATACAACCCAAATTGAGGACATTCTACAAACAGGCCTGCCCTTAAAAATGGCATGAAAGACAAACAAACAAAAAAGGATGAGGACATACTAAAAATTGAAGACCGAAGAGAGATGACTAAATGCAGTAAATGTTCCCACACTGAACCTTAAAAAGCAGAAATTGTTAAAGGATGTTATTGGAACAACTGACAAATTTGAATATGGACTATATATGACATACATCGATGTTAACTTCTCTGAATCATAACTGTACTATAGTTATGTGAGGGAATATCCTTGTTCTTAGGAGATCATGAAGTATTTAGGAACAAAGGGCCTTCAATTTACCAATGGTTCAGCAAGAACAATATGTGTATTTAGAAAGGTAGAAAGCAAATCTGGGGAAATAGTAAAAATTATAAATCTAGGTAAAGAGTACACAAGTTCTTTTATTGTTCTGTTGGCTTGAAATTTTTTTCAAAATAGTTAAAAATTAACAAGACCTCATTTAATCAGTTTGGGGGAATGCGATATATTCTCTTCTAGTAAACTGAAGTTACGAATTCATCAAATACTAGCTTTAAAAAAGTTTCTGTAAATATCTCTCTAGAATGAATTATCCTGTTGACCAGGCAGCACCTCACACAAATTAAATCAGAATCTCTAGAGATAAATAGCCCAGGCATAAATGTTTTAGGGCTCCCTAGGTGGCTCCACTGTTGAAACCAAGGTTGAGAACCACTGCCCTATATATGGCTTCCACCTCTTGTTGTAATTTTAAACTCTAGGACCAACAATGGATTCTTTTCATTTTTCCTTCTGGGAGCACTTTGAAACACTGAAGACAACTATCATATGCCTCGCCTTCCCTTTAATCTTCTCTCTCCAGTGTGCCATATCTCTAATTCTTCTAGGTGCTCTGCTGGTCTCTGAATTATGGTGAAATAGCTCCAAAATTCCATTCTCAGGGCACATGTACTCCAAGAGAAATGTACAAGAATGTCCATAGCAGGATTCATAATATCCCCCAAATGGAAACATCTAAAAAGTCCACCAATATAAAATGGATAAATTGCAATATATTCATACAATGAAACACTATATAGTAATGAAAACTACAGCTACATCAAATATTGATGAATCTCACAATGTTAAGTAAAAGAAGCCAGACATAAAAAGAATACATATGAATCCATTTATATAATGTTCAAATGCAGGCAAAACTAAACTATACTGTTAGAGGTCAGAATGGTGGTTACCTGTGAGGAAAAAGGAAGTAGTGATTAGAAAGGATATAAAAGAGGCTTTGGAGTGCTAGTAATGTTGAATTACCTGACTGAATGGTGGTTTTTCATATGTTCGCTTTGTGTGAAATTATTAAGCTGTGAATTTGTTTTGGCTATTTTCCTGTATGTGTGATAAATGTCATTATAAAAATCTTTAAAATATTATCATGAGGCCCAAGTTAAAGGATATGAAAATTCGTTATAATCATAGAAGTCTCCATACATAGGCTGATGGTTGTTGTATCCACCCCTTTTTGCTCCTCAAATCTGAAACCAAACTGTCTGGGACTTAACTAGCTTAGATAATCTGTGCCCGTTTCCTCAACTATAAAATGAGAACAATGGTACCTATTATTGAATGGTTGTGAGGACTGAAGGAGTTAAGAAATATAAGGTGTTTAGGACACAGCCTGGAATACAGCAAGCACTCAATAGATAATAGCTGCTGCTGCTGCTCTCTGGCCTGAGGGTCTCTGTTCATGTGTGAGAAGCTGGGGTCTTTCCAAGAAGGAATACTTCTAGAAGGAAAAAAAAAATCTGCCTTTCACATAGAGCAACTAGGTAAGGGAAGATGCCAACTTTTGCCATCAGTCAGATGTCCACTCTGGCTCTCACCAAGGTCCCAGGGAAAGCAGGGGAAAAACAATTAGACAGGAACAGCGTTTCACCACTAAAAAAGATCTTTATTACAAAACAAATTATGATAAAATCAGGCCTGGTCTTCAACCCCACCTCTGGGTAGAGGTCCCTAGGATGGGGTACGTTGCAGAGAACAGGGAATGGTGGGCACTGAAAGAACAGAGCAGATGGAAATCTCCTCATCAGTCTCAGCTGCTGCCTCCTTTTGCAAAAGGCTAGAAGAGCTCTTCCAAAGCCTTTTGAGAGAGGCACCATCCTTCCAGCCAGGAAGGACCACTGCTGGCACAAGAACCTAGCAATGTTGCATTGCAAGATCCAGGATGTCCCGGCTGACTCTCAGCAGAGGTCACCTGGGGTCACTCAGCCTGGGCGATGGCATAAGAGAGCAGCCACAGAAGCAGGGGGCCCAGAATGAGGACAGCAAACCAGACGGCAAAGCTGGCCAGGATGAACCTCTGGGCCCGGGCCCCCCAGTGCACTGCCTCCTCGGATCGGCCTGCCTTATGCCGCTCT